CTTCAATGGAAGAATGGATGAAGAAAGTGTGGAATATATACACATTAGAGTACTACTCTGCCATAAAAAACAATGACTTCTCGAATTTTGCATGCAAATGGATGGAAATAGAAAACACTATCCTGAGTGAGGTAACCCAGATCCAAAAAGAGGATCATGGGATGTACTCACTCATAATTGGTTTCTAGCCATAAATAAAGGTCACTGAGTCTATAATTTGTGATCCTAAAGAAGCTAAATAAGAAGGTGAACCCAAAGAAAAACATATAGTTATTATCCCTGCTATGGGAAATAGACAAGATTGCTGGGCAAAAAATTGGGATCTTAGGGGTGGGGTGGGATGGGAGTAAGGGGAGATGGGGAGAGAAAAGTGAGAAGGGGAGGATGGGGGGAACTTGGGGAAACGGGATGATTGGGGGATAAAACAAGGTTGGATAGAGGAGAAGGGAATCACATAACTTAATTAATTGAACCACCTTAGGATTGGTAAGAGACATGAACCTAGAGTGGCTCCCAGGTGCCCAGGGCAATGTCCCCAGTTAGTTCCTTGGGCAGCTGAGAATAGAGTACCTGAAATGACCCTATCCTATAGCCATACTGATGAATATCTTGCATATCACCATAGAACCTTCATCTAGCGATGGATGGACAGAGACCCACACTGGAGCATCGGACTAAGCTCCCAAAGTCCCAATGAGAAGCAGAAGGAGGGGGAACATGAGCATCAAAGTCAGGAACACGAGAGGTGCACCCATCCACCCAGACAGTGGGGCTGATCTATTGGGAGCTAACCAAGGCCAGCTGGACTGTGACTGAAAAAGCATGGGATAAAACCGGACTCTGAACATGGCGGACAATGAGGGCTGATGAGAAGCCAAGGACAATGGCATGGGGTTTTGTTCCTACTTCATGTTCCGGCTTTGTGGGAGCCTAGCCAGTTTGGATGTTCACCTTCCTAGACCTGGATGGAGGGGAGAAGACCCTGGACTTTCCACAGGGCAGGGAACCCTGACTGCTCTTTGGACTGGAGAGGGAGGGGGAGAGGAGGGAGGGAGGGGTCGGAGGAGGGGGAGGGAAATGGGAGGCTGGGAGGAGGCAGGAATTTTTTTTCAATAAAAAAAAAAAAGAAAAAAAAAGACTAAGAAAAGAACTAGCGGCTGCTCAGATCCTTCAGCAGCCTAGATCGTTTTCACTGTCCCCTCCTCCTTGTTTCTTTTCAGTTCTGGCATGGGGATCTATGGAAGAAGTTTGTATTCAATGTTCCTTGCTACGGCCTAGGCTGGAGAAAGGCATATAAAATGCTGAAAGGTCAACACCACCATTTTCCTAGTTCAGAATGCTTATAATCAGCAGAGACCAAGTATGCATCAAACCGAAAATTGTTTAATTTTCAACAAGATTCATACTATCGTTAACCATAGGTAGCTAATTTAGCCTACAGTTTCACTTAGTTTTTATTTTTATTTTTTTTCTTTTTTATTTATTTATTTATCACTTAGTTTTTATTATACCGTTGTGATTAATATAAAAATAAAAGGGTTAAAAACTGCCTCATCAAGTCCCATAGTATCGGCAAATTGTATAATTTTCAAAAATACTCGAAACATGCCAGATTTAGTTCAACTGTATGAGAAAATATAAACGGAGGAGAGGTGACCCGCTCATCTGGAAACAGGAAAGCGGTAAACTTAACCTCTTCCTGGCACTAAAAGCTACAACAAAAAAACAGCCTGTTTGTAAATCACAGCTAGCCCAGGTTCGGGTAGGAAAGCATAGCACGGGCGTCAAGGCATTTAGTCACCAATTGCTTTAACACAAGGCAACTGATACACACAACAATAAAATGCACACGCGACACGGCATACTACTTTTAAATACTCCTGCAGAGCCGAGTGATGCCGTTGGACGTAGACCCTGAGTTCACTGATCAAACCACCAGCCACGCGCAAGGCAGGCAGGACCCACGGGCCGCCCACAGCGACTCGGATCGCCCGCGACATCCGTGCCTCCCCTCCCGCCCCAACACTATCCAGCGTCCGGGCCTCGCCGCCTCCCTCAGCACCCGCGCTTCTCCAAGCCCCAGAGAGCGATGCCGAACAAACGCACCACCGGCCTCCCCTCCTCCGGGTCGCACCGTCTCGTAACTGTTCCTCGTTGTCACGGCAACCAGCACTTCGGAGTGCGCATGCTCGCCGGCGCCAGGCACACAATGCGCACGCTCCCGGGTTTTGCCAAGTCTGTCGGACCAGTAGGCGGGGTCAGACGCCCTCTTCGCCTCACTGGCCGCAAGCGGTTTGATGCGTCGGCGCTTGCGTCACGGACACGCCCCCATGTCGTCAGCGAGAGCCCGGGTACCTCACGTGAGGCGCGCGCCGTCACTCCCACTCTTCCCAGGCTGTCTGGTGTTTGTCTGGCGTCCTTCCCACCCGGCGTACCCCAGTCAGACTGCGCGGTGCGTCCGGAGAGTGCAGGGACCCGTGTGGCTTTTCGCAGTGGGTTTGTTGTCGCCCCCTGCGTCGGGAGATTTGTTGGCCGTCCCTCTACCGCTTCGCATGCGCCTGGCGTTTCTGCCCGCCCGTCCTCCGCGTGTCCCTCTCACGATGGCTGCATTGTCCAGCCTTGACTCCCGGTAACTGACCTGACGATCCCGGCCTGTTGTGTATTGCCGGGGCCTTTTCACGTTCGCCCCCTTTTCTAGTGACCCCTTTCTAGCCCTGGGCTCTCAAGGCTGCTCTGAAGGCCAAAGGGAAGGTGGAGAGAGCTGTCCCCGTGGCTACTGGCCTCCTGGGGTACCTAACCCCTCAACTCTCAGTGACATCTCCCACGTTGTCCATTGAACCAAGCCTGAACCCCTGGTGTCTTTTAAAAGTCTCTTGCTTTTAAAAGTCTCTTGCTTCTTGGTCCAAGCAGAAGTCTGTATTGATTTTCTCCTGCCTCGAACGACAGTTTTGTTGTCCATTAGTTGGAATACAATTCACCTAGAAATGCAAAGAAAACACAATGCAATATTTCCTACAAAGATAGTAACTTCCGCAGAAGTTACTGAGCAGGAAAATCGGTCTTCTGTCACGTCCCAAAAGTCTATATAAATCTGGTATACATGATATAACTCTGGAGCAATAGAACTTTAAGCTCCTCTTAAAAGTTACAACTTTTTCTTGGCAGTGAACTTTCTGAACTGGCTCTTACTGTTTGAACCTTGTAAAAGTAGTTTTAAAAGTCAAATACACAATTAGTTTTTAAGTTTTGAATTTTCACATAGTTTAGGAGTTTTTGAGGAAAAAGTATAATTTTACCTATGCTACAGTGAATGACAGATTTAGAAAAGCAATAAGGCCACCTTTTGCAGTCTTAAGACTAGTCTTTATTGAAGCCTAAGTGGATAAAGCTTTTGCTAGACCTGAGTTTAATACCTGTTTTTGGCAAGTTGCTTTATTTTCCTAAACTATGAATTTCTTATTTACAAAAGAGGCCTTGCTGAATTGTGTCCTTGGACATCTATCAGTTATCCCCAACTGTAGTCCTGGACGTTATTCTCTGAGTGAACACGCGTCCAATCTAAACTAGTTAGAAACTGTGGTTCCATGATAATGGTGACATCATGGGGGACGGTAGCCTGGCCAAGCTGGGCCAGTCACAGGAACTCAAGTGGATGGGGGGGGGGGGCAATTGGAAAATTCCTTTAATTCTTCCTACTGACTGTAGGAACAAGAAAAGACACGAAACTGCAGCTGCATCTGTTCCATTAGCATCATGGGGTAAGAGCCTGAAGGTGTGGGGCCACCAGGTGAACCTTAGAAGGAGGATTACACAGGAAATGGCAGAACTGGGATTTGGACACAGTCCAACATGGGTGATGTAGTTTGAGCCCTGGAGCTACTCCAGTTTTTGTTTTTTTCTCTTACCTGCTTCGACTCTTGTGGGTCTGGTTTTTTGTTACTTGGAGCAGGAAGAATTTCAATGAAAATAGGGGTTCTGTTACCACCTTAGGGCTGTGATGAAGTTAAAATATGGTATTGTATGTGAACTGCTTTGGACAGTACCTACAATCATCCTGTTTTGAGGCATTTCTCTCCAACTTTATAAAGTTCTAGAAATAAATCCTTTTTAAAAAATCCCCTACCTTATCCAAATGATTAAAATCTCATGATGCTTTGCTATCTAAAATTTGGTGCCCATTTTTCAGTCATAAAGATTTTTATTTTGTCTTTTGATTGAAGTATTAACCTTGGCATTATTACTTTGCTATAAGTTTTTCTTCTCTATCTCCCATAGGAGGAGTCTCTTATGCTGCCTAGAACCTAAGACTTAGTTAAGTTAACCCATTCTCCTGCCTCAGTGGCATGAGTATCTGAGACTACATATACGAACATATATCTGATTTATGCTTTTATTTAGATGTTGCTTTTGCTGCATCCCACAAATTTTGAAGACTAGTGGTTTCATTTTCATTTAGTTCAAAATACTTAAAAAATTTTTTTGGAGTCCAATAATTATATCCTGGCCAGTGGTGGTCCCTACAAAAAGGGTTCCCATCCCTTCAGTCTCGCAGCCTCACTGAATTCTAACACCGTGCTACTCTCTCCTCACTCCTTTCATTGGGCCAGTGCATCAGCCTGGACAATGCAAAACAGACTAGCTCTGAGTTTCTGTCCTAAATTATTTTATTTTTCTTTGCAGGGCTTCTCTGGACAGTTCTTGAAAGTCAAGTCTTCTGGTGGCAGCTTCCTGAACTTTTCATTTGTTAAAAAATATTGCTTGTTTCTAGACAGGGTCTCACTGTGTATTTGGCCTGTAACTTGTTGTGTAGCCTAGGCTAGCCTTGTATGGACATCAGTCCTCTTGTCTCCTTCCTGATTGTAAGGAATTCAGGTGTGCACCATCATGCTCAACATTTCGCATTGATTTTTTTCCCTTTTTTTTTTATTGAGAATAAGAAAAAAAAGTTTCCGCCGCCTCCCAGCCTCCCATTTCCCTCCCCCTCCCCCCACTCTTCTCCCCCTCCCCCACTCTTTTCCCCTCCTCCCACTCCTCTCACCCTCCCTCTCCAATCCGAAGAGCAGTCATGGTTCCCTGCCCTGTGGAAAGTCCAAGGTCCTCCCCCCTCCGTCCATGTCTAGGAAGGTGAACATCCAACCTGGCTAGGCTCCCACCAAGCCGGAACATGAAGTTCCTTCCTTCTCATCAGTCCTCATTGTTCGCCATGATCAGAGAGTCCGGTTTTATCCCATGCTTTTTCAGTCACAGTCCAGCTGGCCTTGGTGAGCTCCCAATAGATCAGCGCCACTGTCTCAGTGGGTGGGTGCACCCCCCGTGGTCCTGACATCCTTGCTCATGTTCTCCCTCCATCTGCTCCTCATTGGGACCTTGGGAGCTCAGTCCAGTGCTTCTCGAATTTTGCATGCAAATGGATGGAAATAGAAAACACTATCCTGAGCGAGGTAACCCAGACCCAAAAAGATGAACATAGGATGTACTCACTCATAATTGGTTTCTAGCCATAAATAAAGGTCATGGAGTGTATACCTGGTGAACCTAAAGAAGCTAAATAAGAAGGTGAACCCAAGAAAAAACATATAGTTATCCTCTTGCCTAAGGGAAGTAGATAAAATTGCCAGGGACAAAATTGGGATCTTGGGGGTGGGGTGGGGATAAGGGGGGACAGGGAGAGAAAAGTAAGAAGGGGAGGATTGGGGGAACTTGGGGNGGAAGCACATATCTTAGTTAAGGGAGCCACCTTAGGGTTGGCAAGAGACTTGAACCTAGAGTGGCTCCCAGGAGCCCAAGGCGATGTCCCCTGTTAGTCCCTTGGGAAGCTGAGGATAGGGAACCTGAACTGACCCTATCCTATAGCAATACTGACGAATATCTTTCATATCACCATAGAACCTTCATCTGGTGATGGATGGAGATAGAGGCAGAGACTCGCATTGATTTTTAAAAGAGATTCTTTGAGGTAAAGTCCACATAGAACAGCTCTGATCACCATACAGTGAATAGCTCAGTGGCATTTGACAAGTCACAGTGGTGTTTAACTACCTTTCTCTAGTTCTAAGGCATTCTTGTACTGCATGGTGGAGATAAATCCCACATGCAATGGTGTCTGCCCTATCCCAGCCCCTCGCAGCTGCCAATTTGTATTCTGTATTCATAGGCTTAGACTTATATAATACATAACCTTTGATGTCGCTTCTTTTATGTGACATTTTTGAGGTCCCTTGATGTCATAGCATGTTCCAGTGCTATACATTTGTATCACAATTGATTATATGATCACATACAGATATACAGACTCATGTTTGTATGTCTGTTCTTTTTTCTTTTTTTTTCTTTTTAAGACATAGTTTCTATGTAGCTTTGAACCTATCCTGGAACTAGCTCTTGTAGATCAGGCTGACCTCGAACTCATAGAGATCCACCTGTCTATGTCTCCCAAGTGTTGGGATTAAAGGCTTGATCCACTACCTCCCGACTTCAAGTCTGTTCTTATTACTCTTGTGTATGTGCAATCACTGGGTAGTGTATGTGACCACCAGACTGCTTTTTCCCAGCACATACTCCCTAATCTGTTCCGACAAATATGGTCTTAGGTTTAAATGCTTCCACAGCGCTCCTAACACTTGTTGTTTTCTACTTTTGTATTGATGTTAAGACAGGATTTTATTATTACCCTAGGCTTGCCTTGAACTCATGATTTTCCTGCTTCAGTCTCCTATGTGGTGGAATTCAGATATGAGCTACCATGTCTGACTTCTGCTTAAAAGAATCCTGTTAGTTAAGAGATGGTGTTATGGTTTTTTATACTCCTAGTTACTGGTGATGTGGTGTGTCTTCATGGACTAGCCCTTTAGTGGGAAGTGCCCTGTTGATAAATCTTTGACCTACAGATTCTGGTTGGGTGTTCTCATTCTTCTGATGGGCTATCCAAGGCAATTTTCATTTCTGTTATGGTGTTTTCAACTTGTATTTCCTTTTGATACTGTCTTGTTTCCTTCTCTATGCTCCTATTTACCATCTGCCCTTGCAGGTGGCTTACTTGTTTCACCACAGCATGACAGGCTACTTTATAAAGAAAAAAAAAGATTATTGAGCTTGATGTTTGAGTTTCATAGGCATGGTAGGAACATCAGCTTCACTCTGGAGAGAGCTTCATACTTGATGCTATGC